TCCTGGAAGACATGAGGAAGATTAAAGATGTACTAATGAAATCAAATTTACCAGAGATAAAAGGCAGACCCCCCCCCCCCTCTTGACAGACCCGTTTGAGCGCGGTCTGTGTGACGTACAAATAAGAATGTGGTCCTCTTTCCTTTGTGAAACATTAAACGCTGAGAAGAAGCGTATTCCTGCTGTCCAGAATTTTTATGAACTGAGCGCAGTGTAACAACCCAAGTACAGCATGAGTATGGGTGAATTGGGGGGGGGGGGGTACAAATATACAGGAAGAACAGCTCATTTCCGATAAATAATGAAACGAGCTGGATGTTTTGTGAAAAGGAGGAATTTTCTGCAGCTCACACAACAGTAAAATAAACCCCAAGGGAAACAAGGGGGGGGGCGGTGCAGCCTGAGTGATTGTTTAATCTTCGATGATCTGCAGATTCTTTCGAAACAGCAGCAGATGGTTAGTGGGAACAATTGGGTTAGAGACTCACGCGAAGGAGTGTGCCTCACTGGGACGGGGACGGGGACAGAGACGGGGACGGGGACAGAGACGGGGACGGGGACAGAGACGGGGACAGAGACAGGGACAGAGACGGGGACAGAGACAGAGACAGGGACGGGGACAGAGACGGGGACAGAGACAGGGACAGAGACAGGGACGGGGACAGAGACGGGGACAGAGACAGGGACGGGGACAGAGACGGGGACAGGGACAGGGAAGCTGCCAGTCGACTCTCATGCGTGTCTCCTGATGCATGTGTGTTGATTGGCAGAGGACCCTGGTAGGGAATGCAGGTCTCGGTGGGGGGGGTGCATCTTGAAGGTGACACCCAGGAGTGACCAGGTGGTCAGGAAAAAGCGGCGTGATTCATGGGGACGGACTTTGCATGGCGATGTAATGCATGTCTGCACAATGTGCTGCAGGTTTGACTCATTCTACTACTGAAAGCCTATGAAAACTCCTCCTAACAGGTGGATAGTAAAGTTAAATAGTTTGTTAGTGATGTGTATTACTTTTTTTGGTTGATAAGAGCTTTCAGACACTGATATCAAAGACAATTTCTTATTCAAAATCTGATGAACACCATCCTGTTCTTTTATCTGTGATAGATCTCTGCGGGATTTATTTCAGTGTTCTGAATTATTATAGCATTGTTCCATTGTTTGGCAGGAAACCAAAAACAATTTAAATAATCTATGACAGTTATGCAGAAAAAATGATTTTGATTTATCTCAAGAATGCGGTCGGGGTTAACTTACACATCCTTTGAATTATTATGAAAAAATTCTCTCTTTTTTTTAAAGTGCGTTTGCCAGATCCGTGATAATAGTATTGTTTTCAGCAACCCACCTAATCTCTAGAGTTTTTGAACTAGTCAGTGGTTTGCAAAGACAGAATCATAATTTAGTATTCCTTTAGGAGGGTGAAATTCTTTGTTTTTTCGGAATGATTTAGCACTGATGGAGTAAAAGAGAGAATGCATTTGCCTTTTTTTAATAATGAAATTAAGGCTCTTTTGAGTTTCCCCCAGACAGGAGACCTGATGCTGTTGCCAAAGCAACAGAGTCCCAATCCAAATCTATTGCCTCCCAGTATACACAGTGTCATTAATAATGGTCGTCTTGTTGTTACTGATTTGCGTACCGTTGTTTTTCCAGAGTAAACCTACTACCGTACTATGTAACTTATAGCTTTTCTCATGTAAAAAATAATTTTCATGAGATTTGCTGTTATTAAATTAGTATTCTGCATATAGAAATCAAATTAAGTTCGGATTATTAGCAGACATGATTTGGGTACCCAGAGGAAAGTGTATTACATCTATCTATCCATCCATCCATCCAACCATCCACCCATTTTCCAATCGGTCATGGTTCTGGAGAACTTTTATTATGTATTTTTAATATTATGTTATTTTGTTATTTTTCTCTTATCAGTTACAGCCCCTTTGTTTCCAGAAATTACCTTGTGACCTCATTAAGAGACGACTGCTACCCTATTTATACCTGGTCTCTGCTGAGAGGAAGTGTTATGCATTCTACGGATTTTCAGTGCTTTTTAAATAATTCTGAAACACCTAGATTTTATGAGAAAATGTCTTCTGTTGGTTTCCTTCTTACCAGAAATAATAGGCATGAATATCTACTCCAAAACCAATACTAATGTTGGTAACACTTTACTTAAGGCCATATTGTTCATAATTTATAAACAGATTCATAACAAATAATAATGCAAGTATTATAAATATGGCTATAAATATTTATCAAAAGGCATTACATTATACTCATGTTTATTATGCATTATGAATGCTTTATGAAGCTCTCATCTATATTGTAGTATAGATACCTTCATAATGCAGTATAAAAGCACCCGTAATACTTATACTGACCATTATAATGCATTATGAAGGCATCTATTATGCATTAGAGCTTCAAAAAGCATTCATTCATAAGCATTCATTCATAATAATACACATGGCTATAATGTATATGCATGCCTTTTTATAAATATTTATAGCCGTGTTTATAATGCTTTATGGATGCATTATAATGCATTATGAATGTGTTTATAAATTTCTAAACACATGGCCTTAAGTAAAGTGTTACCCTAATGTTTTATGTATGTATTGCAATAATATTCTGTATTCCAGAATACATATGACATATAGTGGCCTTTAATATAAGACATTTTATAGGTTGGCACATTGGGTGTCACTGTTGCCACGCATCTCTTGAATTTGGGCTTCAGATCTTGCCCCCCCTCCTGTGTTTAGATTGCTTCTTCTCTGTGTTTCATTCCCACAGTCCAAAGACATGCAGGTAGTCAGTCGGCATCTCCTAATTCTCCTCAGTGTGTAAGTGTGCATGTACAGCATTGTGCAAAAGTCTCAAGCAGTCAATGAAATGTTTAAGGTTATTTATCTGGGCAGTAAGTGTATACTGGTATCTTACTGGGTAGCTAGATGAACACCTGGCCTCTGGGGGACGCCAGCCGTTCCATGCAGCTGTTAAATATCTCCTCCAGCTCATTTAGTTTGAGATAACCCAATGAGGTATTGATTAGCCGAACAAGGTGGGGTATTGGTCAAGTCAAAAATTGCATTGGTGTGTTGGACGGTTGCTGCAAATACTGTGGTGATTTTAGGAGAGGATTTGAAATGACACTTTGACAGACAGAATGTCACATTGCTGTGTTTGCCCTATGATACACTGTAATAGTCTGTATGAAATGCTAGTCTATCTCCTTCCCTGTGCAGTGTGCCTGGGATAGGAACTGGTGCTTGTATTGGGTAAGTGGCTGGATGATGGATGGGTGTTTTGTATACCAGTCTAAACTAATGTATAAACATGGTTGTATGGCCTGGGATTCGGACATCCTGCTCTGAAGTCTGTTTAGAGGGGAAGCAGAGGTGGCAGCAGGTGCTGGTGTTTCGTCGCACGCGTCGCACGGCACATTTCCTGCCCGCCTGCCCGGCAGAGTGGACTCGGCTTCACTTCACCGAGAAGCATCTGGCAGTTCAGCACCATGGATGCTGCGGGCCGGAGGGTAAAGGTGATGACCTGTAACCCAAATGGTTCTGGCTCAGGCTCCAAGAGTTGCCCTGAGGTTTTGTTTCGTGTGAAATACCCAGCTGTGCACATGGAGCTGTAGGTTGTGTAACTTGACATCAGAGAACTTGAATTTTTTGTGTATCTCTGTAAAAACGCAGTCATATAAATTATATATTTTTTTACATATGAAATGCAATCAGACGAGAGGAAAAACTAAAACCATCAATTAGTAGATGTGCACTTAAACATATGGAGAAGCCGTAAAAACTTTACAGAGTGCCAGTAAACATATGTCTGCAGTAAATCCAGAGGACCACCTGTGGTTTCGTTTGGAACCAGACGGAGAAAATCTGTGAGAATCTTTGCTTTTGACATAATAGATAATCATGCTAATTTTAGCCCAAGGTCTGTAGCATGTGGTCTTACTGCCAGTAATGAGTAATATCAAGAAGGTGCTGAAAACAACGTGAAGGAGAGGAGAGGAGTATAAACCTGCCTGTCAGGCTCATGTGCCAGTGGAGAGGCGTCCCAGGCAGCACGAGCCCGCGTTTCACTTCAGGATCAACTTTGTTACTGTCTTATGATGGTTTAAAGAAAGACTGCAACCTTTTGTTAACTATTACTTACTCAAAAGTTTGTTTTTTAGATGTTATGCATTTATAATTACGCTACATTTGAACAATTTTTGTGTTTTTTATTGGTTCTGTGGGGAATCTGCAGATCATAAGTGGCGAATAGTGTTAGTGCGTGTAGATAGTGCAGTTCTGCTCCGATGAGATTGGCCGTCAGGGAAGGCTGTGGCTGACATATTCTAAAATCTAACTGCGATTTGTAAATAATTATGGCACATTACGGGAAATGGGCAACATACTGGTATGTGTGGCTTTCAGTGTGCAGGATATTAAAGAGGAGGAAAGCGCTGTGCAATACTGTCTAGATAATACTGTATTTAATTCCCTGCTTTTTCATTAGAAATAATTCATTTTAAAACCACTGCATTTTTATCATTTCATGATCAAATGTTCTAATACCATGATTTAACCTAACATAATATGATTTATATTAACTTGTACGACATACGTTACTGTGGTTGATCATAGCTCCGCTTATGTAATGACAAGACCCATTCGTTGCTGGCAAGAGAGCAGTAGGACGTTGGCTTGTATCCCCGTGACTGTTGGGATGCTAACAGAGCATCTGCCTTATTGTTGCTTATTGCAGTTCTTTACAGTGCAGAATTTCTACGTCCAGCTTGCCACAGCTCAGTCTGAAGGACGCATTCTTACAGTGGACAGCGCCCAGTTGAGTTTTGTCTGTCATAACCAAGGCTAACTACTTCGCTAACTGAGCTTTGCTCGGGAGGGCTGTGAAATCACTTTGCCATGAATGTCCTTGTGTGGTTCAGGTGTTCTTGGGCTCCTGCCTATAAATTTATGTTTGTCTTATCTTAGGCTTTACTATCCATACCTCCACCCAGCCCTGGCAGTTCAGCTGATGAGGGTTGGAAAACTGCAGCAGTACCTGGGCAGGCTGGAAGAGGCTTATGGGACCCTACAGCAGGTTTGTCACTAGCTACAAGGTAGCTGTCTCTCGGCCTGGCTATATGGGAGCATTTTTGCTGCTCTGGTAACTGTGGTACTATATAAGGGCAACATGGAGGGTGCGCCCCCTGCAGTCTGTACTGTGCCCTGTCTGTTATCTGTCTTCTGTCATCTGCCATTGGGTGGGGATAATGTGTAACACTTTGAGACAATGTGTTACACAGTATCACAGCAAAAATGCACTATACAAATAAATATACCCCTAATGTGATGTCTAACTCCTTTTCCTGCACTCTCTGTTTTTACGTTCAGCCTACTGCCTTGCAGTAAATCGTCCTGTGTTGACATGGCTTCCATTTTCCATGTTGTGGTGGGAGAATAAGGCACAGTGTACGTTCCGGATCCCTCCTGACTGACTCTTTTTATGCATGCTAGGCCTATGATGTCATGAAGGTGACCCACGGCTGTGAGCACAGCCTAACCTGTGAGCTCAGAGGGATGCTGCAGCAGTGTCAGGCTGAGATGAGCCATGCCTAGCGGAGCCGAGCTGATGGAATATTCCGGATTGGTCTTTCCAGGGTAATTTCACTGCAGCACTATGGGCAGCCGACATGTGATGTTCTGAGTGTTTTCGATTAACCGCTATGACAGCCGAGTGCATCGATCATCGTGACGAGGTTTTATATTTCTGAAGACGGGTACCTGAATGGCCTCATTTGTCATATTCTGTATTTTTTAGTTGACAAGAACATTAAAGACGCAAGTACATCTCTGTGAAAATCTGCAATAAAATATCTTGTTGTTATTTTACGATTAGTCGGGAGTAAAACTATTGCAGTAAAACTACTGCTTTATATTTTTGTCTGTGTAAATGGCAAATTTCTACTTGTTAACAGTCTGAATTCAGAGCAGCTGGACTGTAGGGAGCTGGGGGCTTAAACACCCATAAAATGTGGGTCTAAATAAACTGAACTGGCAGGGTCTCTCTACACAGCTGTCTGCTGATCTTCTCAGTCTCCGCACAGAAAAACATTAGCAATCTGTTTGAAAAGCCCCACCAAGTTTTTTTTTAAACCCCCCCCCCCCCTCCTGGAGATTGCCTAACGCTTCTCGCCCACCATGCAGACAGGCCACGTCGCACTGCCGACAGCGGCACAGTGGGCTGTCCTGACCAGTCAGCCGTTTGCAGTCTCGCTCTTTGTCCAGCGCAGGATGCTGGCCGCCCGTCTGTTTGTCTTACTGATTCTCTTTATCTGTCATCTGTGCAGCAGGAACACGGAGGGATTAATAATGTATTAAGAGCCATGAATCATCCTTCCCATCCCTATTGACCGTCTCTTAAAAAACAAACACAATGAAGTAGGTCTTTTCGTTACAGATAGCATCATGCTCCACTTCATTACGCTTTGTTACTGGGCCAAGTCTTTGGGTAGCCTGATCTCTGTATGACAAACTCGTTTTCCTTACACACATCATGTCTTCTCAAAGCACACCTTTTTTTAACCACAGACTGATTCAATTCTTAACCACAAATCAGTTCAATTCTTATTCATTGTTCTGCATGTACTGTCTTCTGACTGGAAAATGAAGGTTGGATTTGGTTTGGATGGCTCTCACTTGTTTATCTTTAAGTCGAGGGTCGTGTATCTGGCTTTCCTCATTATTGCTGGTTTTCAGGGCTCATTGAGATGGACTTCAGACGTGAGTTGCTGGATGAGAGTCATTATCTCAAAATGCATAGTTTTCGGTCGGGCCCATCCACTGAGGGGCTACTGTCACAAAATGGCCTTTTTCAGGTCTCGCTTTGAGGTGGAACCTGGACCTGAACTTTCCACCTCTGCTGAGAGCAGGGCTGTATGCGGGGGTGGGGCCACAGGAGCCCCAGCTGAAACCTGATTGGCTCGCGGAGTGCCCCCTTCCCTGTCACACACGGCTTTAAATTATGTCATTGGCTAAGGTTGGCCTCTCCGTATGAGTTATGTCCCCTCTTATGTCCCCACCTTAAAAAATCTTCGTATCACCCCTGTGTGAAAGTAGCATACTCCATTTATATTGTTACTCCATCCTCTCTTCAGCAAGACATTTTCCAGAGCACCGACTTCTCAGATTTTTTTCCTTTTATTAACAGTCATGTAGTTCCAATTAGACCCATCTCTGCTCAGGTCTTCTCTGGAAGGCAAGCACGCCTGAGATCTCTCCAGGAGGGCACTAGCTAATCAAAATGCCACAGCCCATACTTTTGCACACTTGGCTCCATGTCTAGCACAGTGAGGCCTTTCTGCCGGCCATTTTCCAGTCCACTTTACCCGCCAGTGATTCGTTTTCTTCCCTTACAATCATTCGTTTTTTCAGTAGCATTTTCAAAGCCTATTTTCAATCTAAAAGCAAATGTAATGAAGGTGCGATAGAGGATCACATGTATTGACGAATCACAAAGACTGAATTAAACTCGATTTAAACTTTAAAGCCTCTTTGAGTGACCATTTTCATTCACATCCTCACTGTTGATGTTTAAGGCTTTAGTGCGTGTTCAATACTCTGTGAATGTTAAACATGTACTCATTTCACAGGAAGCCTGTCTCGACTATCTGCTTCACTGATCATCTAACTTCTTTTTTTATCCATTTTTGTCACACTTCTTCCCAACATCTGCAAACTGCTTCCTTGGTCTTATATTTTCAATGTACTGTATATAATATGTGTACATGCAGATATATTGAATAATAACAAACCATAATAATAGCATGTTTTTACTTCTCAGAAATAGTAGAAGCACTATGAATAAATACACGCTATAAGAAGAGAGAAACACTCAAGGGTAATTATAGAAGTATAATTGGAATCCCTGAAAAATTGTCATTTGTAATTTTTTCCAAAGTGAATTCTAGCTTGGCTGTGTTCTAATATTACAATGTATTCACTAGGGGGGTAAAAGAATGTCAAGAATATGATTAAAGAACAAATATAGTAAATAAGACAATAGTTGAATTTGTTTGTCTTGTCTTATATATGGGGGGGGGGTGTAGCTTAGTGGGTAAGGTCAGACCCACTTCCGGAAGGTTTTGAGTTTGAATCCCATGGCTAACTAGGTAATCACATCCCTTATGGGCCCTTGTACGAGACCCCTACACATTACTGCTCCAGGGTGCTTCATACCCTTTGACCCCAAACCTTCTTCTCCTGTATGTTGCGTTGTACAAACACATCTGCTGAATAACTTAACGCAAAATCAAGACTGCGGTATAATTTAGTATTGTACACATCATGCACATACCGAATGAGTGAGTTGTAGTAAATTAGAGCACTTAAAAAATCATGGGGACTCTACACTGAGGTGTCAAGTGCCTGTGATTTTATGTAACGATAACAGTGAATTATCTGAATGTAGAGGACAGCACTCAACGGCCACTTCATAGCTTTCAGATGTGTGACGTAACGCTAACAGCTCGTCTCGCCTTGAACATACATGAGTAGCATGTTCTCCATCTGATCTGCAGCTAATGTCTCTGTTTTCCCCAATTAGCAAACATTTACTGTTCTGTTTCTGAAAGACAAGTTCATTTCTGCTCCTGTTTTTGTAATAGCTGAAAGAAAGGAGACCACAGAGGGTAGACAGAACAGATAAAATCCAGGCCAAAGGCACAAGCAAAAAAAAAACATAGAATGCTGTTATAATATAATATAATATAATATAATGCTGGTATGTTGCTAAATTCTCGAATCTGATTGGTCAGAAGGGTATTGATTCATTTTCAATATGTGCACACGCAGTACCAGGCAGGCAAATCACAATAGCAATCAAAGCACTATTAAAAAACAACGGGCAGTTTTTAACTGATGGCAGGCTTACGGTCTTACAACAGACAATTTTCGACAATGGCAGCTTGGGTCATATCTAAGCAAAATGTACTAATCAATGTGTGTTCAGCTCGTAAACGTGAAAATCTCCATAGCTACAAACATGAAAGCCAAATGCGTGATAAACATAGTACAAAGGCAGTCATACCCACAAAGGGCCAGTGTGTGTGCAGGTTTCTGGGATAACATTTAGGTCAAAACTCACGTACACAACGACCTTTTCTGGGTAAGATTGGCCACCCCTGTCTTAACCACAGTGTATCGGGTGGTACTTTGCCGTGTGTTTAAAGACATAATGCACAGCTTATTGTATATGAAGCCTTAGAGCGTAAGTGAAGATTCGTAATTTGCCTATGGGATACGAAAAAAGAATCACAAGCAGGCTACTCGTCCGGGTACATCCTTTATTTACATCGGTCCCCACGTTACATCATACTCCTATTCCATTCTTTTGTTTTGAGGGCAGTTGAACTAAGAGCACCGTTTCTTAATTGTCCATTGCATACAGTTCAGTTTCCACATGATTTTGTCCATCCAATAGCTTTTCAAATCATTAAAATCAAGGAATTTTCAAGAACTCTCTCCATACACAGCAGACCAAAATAAAAGACGGAAAAAAACTCACTTCAGGGAGTCACATCTCCGCTTGGCGACCGTTTCTGAACGTGACCGTTTAAGCAAATCAACAACGACATTTCAACACTTATTACATGTTAAATGTTGAGCTCTGTTATTTGACCAGTGGCTGAAGGTGCGAGAGCGCATGAAAAGAAAATTAAAAAAGCAAAAGTAAAATATTCATGGACAAACACAGCTTGCAAACACGAGCAGCAGCACGTCATCCATGGGAAAATGGGTTTTCTCACACGCATTTAATGACAGAAATAGCAGAAAAAAATATTGATTATAAAAATGGAAGCGTATATATTTATATATGAAACGCACTTAGTTACTGTACATTTTTTTTAATGCATAGCACTTTGCAACCATAATATGTAAATAAATTATATAATATAAGCAACTCTGTCAAACAGGCCTCCTGAGTTTACAAATAAATAATATCCTTCATTCATTAGCGTTACTATGACAAAGGTGAAGAGCAGGGGCTCCAAGTCCCTTAAATGAAGGTGATGAAGCAGGTGACTTTAGCATTATTATAGGTGGAAAGCTATATATATATATATATATATATATATATATATATATATATATATATAATATAAAGATATGAAACGATCTCAAGCACCATACATAAAGAATTATCATCAAACTGTATGCACCACCAAAGTGAGACCACGCAGAGTGGAAGTGGCTTCCTCAGTAAAAGATGGTTTTCTATGCATGAACACAATACTTGGTGACCTATATGTGAGTGTATATATGTACATATTTATGCTAACTTGTATGTTTTATCATCTGAGATTTTTTTCCCCCCTACATGTTGCAGAGCTCAATTTAGCCATACCTTGAAACCCCCCCCCCCCCCACAAAGCTGAAATACTGGCTGACTTAAGTTTTGCTCCTTGGTGTCACATAACAGATGCTTTACCAAGCTGGTCAGAGCCAAATACTATAAAATGATTGTAATGTTAAGTGCGATAGCTGTCCTGCAGGATGGTGACATCATCCGCAGTGGGATCTGTGTAAGCTGCCCTCGGCGAATGAGCCCTGGATGCAGGTCACAGAAAACAGCCAGCAAAGAGGATCAAGAGAGCTGCTGCAGAGGATCTGTTTCGCTCTCGTCACACGTTGTTGTTTTTGTAGCTTGTTTTTGTTTTTTGTTTGCCTCATTTTGTTTCTGACCCTCTACTTGTTTTTCTTTTAAACCAATACACTCTGAGTGGTCTCAAACATATTTTTTGATAAAAAATGATTATAAAACATACACATAACAGGCCATAATATGCTGCTCTTTAACTAGTATAACAATACAAATACAAATTACCAATAAACAACAAGTCAGAAGGATTAAACACCAAGAAAAACAAGCTGTATTCATTATTTTTTCCTAATCTACTTGACCTAGCACCATAAATAGGGAAATTTTCTGATATTGGATTCTTCCCAAGGCACTTTGTTGTCATTTTTCTCTAATTCAATTGTGTTTTTCTTCTTTGTCCTCCACGGCAGTTCCCTTCTGCATCAGTCTTCATCAAAACGAAACATTATTTACAACCATATGTTTTAAAAAGTTCCTTATTAAAAGTGCTCTTTCATGCTCATAAACGTTCTTGTCTTCGGATCACAATAACACATCAACTGTGTACTCTTCCTCTGCCTTTTCCAACACTTTAGAAAAATATTTGTTTCCTATTTGTGTTTGTGCACCAGCGCATCCTGCCTAAAGCCCATGTAACCGTCTTCCATATAAACTCTACCATCATTTCCCATCAGTCTGCGTAGCTCAGGCAGGTGGCAGCTGCCATTTTCCTTCTACCGTTGCCTGGAGGGAGCGTCGAAGCATGTGATCATCATGAGGTGGGCTTTGCAGAAGTTGACCCGGTTCTCGAGGCGCTCAGTGACAAATTCCAGGGCTTCAAGGTACTCCAAAGAGTCTACCTCAAATGTCTGTTGTAAATCAACTAAAAAACAGAAGTAGTGACGTGAGCAAGTGACAGGTCAAGAGAGATTCAACTCATCATCCAACAATCTCAACTATTACTCCCAATGAACTAATGAGACATTCTCAGATGATATAATGGAACCTTAAATATATCTTTAATCAGTTGTTGAATTAAATTATAAATGGATGAGTGTTTTTTTTTTATCTGTCTTTATTTTATACAGTTCAGATACACAATAAATCAGAATCTGAGGCAGGCTCCTTATGGGACTGTGCATGTGAAGTAAGCATGAAGCCTAATACAGGAAGAGGAAGGATCCGAAATGCGAGACGGTAATATACGAAGTATGGGTGTGTAGAGTAAGTAGTTAGTTTACCGTTACCATTAGATATAACAAAGTAATATTCATTCCCCGGAAGATATGTGGAGGCAGCCACAGTTAACTTGGTATCTGGCAAAGGCCCATGTTGTCACAGAGACATGACTCACATTCATTGGTCCATTTCTCAGGAGCCAGCATCAGGTGTTGCTTGGTCTGCTCCAGCTCCTTCTTCAGCCAGTCGTACTTTGCCCGCACCTCTGAGATTCTCTGCTGCCGGTGCTCCAGGATCCTCAGCTTGGCGCTGAAGTACACCATGTCCTGCACGGGCACGGCGTCCTGCTGGCAGAGCCACGGGCAATGTGTGAGAGTCGTGGCTGGCACCTTTCCGGGAGAGTCTGCAAGCTACCCGGGTCTCGTTTGAAAGGCATAATATCAAATTGTTTTTCACGCAATGCTTGTGTCACATGCTCCCAAATAAAGGGTAGATAATCCAGCTTCCATAACTGCTTATGATAGATAGATAGATAGATAGATAGATAGATAGATAGATAGATAGATAGATAGATGGATAGATGGATAGATAGATGGATAGATAGATAGATAGATAGATGGATACAGGGGGACTCTGGACAACATGCTAGTCCCTCACATTTCAAACAGTCCCACAATATGGCACCTTATATGGACCAATGCACTTTACTGCATGTTTTTAGATTGCTGGAGAAAACCCAGGCAAACAGAGGGAGAACAGAGGAACCCCCCCCCCTCCCCCATTGCTAGAGGCATGAGGCCACTGTATCTCTCTACCAGTGTAAATAATTGCCAAATACAATAACATTTATATTTCACACTGCTTGCTTCAGGACATTGAATCTGGGAAATAAACACGAGATAGGATTCTTTTGCCTTCTTCCAGACCTCTTTAGGGTTTTCCTAATTTAGGCCCAGTTTGCACTTGCACACTATCAACCTTTCATCATGTGTGCACCTTGCTGGTCGCGCCCCGTCTCCTCTGCAGGCGTTCCACGTCATCGATCTCGTAGACTTTGATCTCGAAGGGCTCAGCCAGGCCGCGCTGGGGAGGCCGCAGGGGGCCGTCCACCCAGCGCACGCCTGGGCTGATGATGGGCTTCCTGACCGGAGACGTCGCATCGAGGGACAGTGTGGGGATCAAACGCCTACGCTGAGACCCTGAGGATAGTGGCATCGAAATCAGGACATCAGGTCAGCAAAAGCACCAATTCGATCTTTCCAGTGGTGGATAGTTCAGGTCTAGAAAGTAAAAAATCCAGACCAAGATTTCGTTTCAACCAAACAGTTGAGTTCCCTGTGACTCTTTATACTCAAATGGTTGGTTGGAACAAAATCTTGGTCTGGATTTTTATTTTCTGGACCTGACCTATCCACTTCTGATTCTTTCATTTTTGATCCATCCATCCATCCATCCATAATTCCTCTATACCTACTATTCAGGGTCACAGAAATCTAGAGTGTATATAGGAGGCGAAGGGTATAAGGCAGGAAATGACCCAGGACATGTGGCTAACCCATCGCAGGGCACACTCACACACACACACACACACACACCGTTCATTCACACATGCACACCTAGGGGCAATTTGGTAACTCTAACATCAGCATACTTTTGGATTGTGGAGGGAAACAGGGGAACCTGCAGGAGAACCTGCAGGGGAACCTGCAGAGAAACGCCGAACAACACAGGGAGAACATGCAAACTCCACACAATGAACCGCGGCGGAAACTCGACCCCTGGTCATAGAGGTGTGAGGCCACTTTGCCACCCCAAGTTTTAATATCATAATTCAAAAATCCACAGGTCCCTCACAGGGCTGATTGTGCCAGATAAAGAGCTAAACCAATCTGTCCTTGATGCTATCATGAAATCTGCATGCAATAGTTTAATCAGAGAATATCACAGTAATGATCTTGTATTTAGTCAATTCCCAACCAATGACAATAAAAAAGTAAAACTTAGAGTGAAACAAATCTAGGTAAAATAAATAAATTGTATTCCTTACATATAGTAAATGTATAAAACAGCCAAAATACTGGTTCCTGTTAATGTCAAAAAATGGGTGGTTTTAGCAGAAAGGGATTTGCTAGACACCTATGGTAGAACAACAAGAAGCCAGCTTGTCTGTTCCAACACAGGAATGTTTTAGCTGCATGTCTCCTGTCGTATTTGTGAGCAGTGCTGAGATGAACAGCCCACAATCTCTGCGCAGAGATAAGACCAGCGGGTCACCTCCTTATCTGGGCAGGACTCAGTAATGCGTCCTGCTCTTTGCAATTCATAACTGCCGATTTCTATTTGCATAGAAATTGGGCTTCTGACAGTCTGCTGATTGCCAACACACCAAAGTAAGTCAGCTTTTGTTTCAAACAGCAGAGCAAACAATGCAGGTTGGCCATTTAGAAAGCTGTGATTTAATATAAGTTCATCCATTTGTATTTTTCTGTCAAATTCTCCAGTTGTATCGCACATACAGATTCACCGGAAAATCCAGTTTTCTAGTCCTTCATACCACAGTTGCTCAGTTGAAACCCATTGAACGAAGTCCTAGCCAGACATATTTTCCTCCTTCAGGCACCCAGAGTTGGGCACTGGTCCTGATGGTTCAAATCACGCTTTCAAAATTGTGCCCCTTTTCATTGCATTTCTGTCATAAAATGCCCCGGATTCAGTGTGTACAGTCAATGTCTGCGTTTGTGCAGGGGTAGGAAAATTAGTTTGACGACGTGCATGTATCCGCAGAGGTCAGGATGCCCTGCCTGCTGCATGAAGGAGGCCTTGTTCACATGCAGACCCTTGGACAGCAAGCCTCAGTTCAGTGAAACGTCATCCAGGGAGAACGGTAAGTGGGTTATATGGCTTATTGACAAAATAAGCTTGAAAAAAATGTCAGTAGGGTTGAGGAGCCATGTGACTCTCACATTAATACCATTAAATTTCAGATATGAAATCACTGTTTAATCACTATTATAAATGATTTTAAAGCTGGGCGAAACATATACTCTCTGTGTGATAGTATAGGACAGGGCTATTCAAATCACAGCCTTCCTTTACCTGTGAGCCGGGTGTAAAGTCTATGTGGCCAATCAGAATCAGTGATTACCTGGGAGAATTGAAAACATGGTCTGGATGTGGCACCGAGGTCCAGATTTGAAGAGCCCTGGTATCGGAATATTCAATAAAATAATAGAAGTTTAAACCAGTATAAGAAAAGTTAATCATTTGTTCTCTCACCTTTTACAGATCTACTTTTTTATATAACAGTCTCTGTTACCTAAACACAAGGAGCCCTACCTGTGTTGTTCCTTTTCTTTGAGTTCTTCAGGCTCCTGCGTCCGCTGGTACAGCTGCTGTTCTCGCTCATGGAGTCCTGGGCTGACGAGGTGCTGCCGGTGGCTTCGCTGTCCCGCATCATGCTCTCGTAGCCGCTGCTGCCCCCGCTGTGGTAGAACAGGGCGGTCTTGCCCATGGCTGGGGGTAGCTCCCCGCTCAGTACACTGCTATTGTCGCTGGCATGACCGCTACTGCACCGATGTGGCCGGCGGGGGGCTGTGATCTTGCTGTAGGGGGACGGCAGAGTGTGTGCCACAGGCCGCTCCTCACCCTGGAGCCCTGCTCTGTCGTCAGAGTCACAGGCCCCCCGGGCATGACTGGCCCTGGAGCCCCCACTTCCCTGCAACAGCTCGGAAATGCGGCCGTTCACGGCCCTCAGCGGGAGCTTGGATGCTAGCCCTGAGCCCCGGGTGCGGCTCAGCGACTGAGTGGACCAGGAGCTCTGTGTCTGGGTCTTCCCATTGGGAGGCAGGCTGGAACTCCTGTTGACAGACTGTGGCAGCGACTTGGTGGAGAAGCTCAGGGTCTTGGTGCTAGAGGCAGACAGGCTTCGGGCCTTTGGACTTGCCATGAGCAGCTTGCTGACTGCTGAGATTTTAGACTGACCCGTCTTGGGTGACTGCGCCACAGTACTGGGCCCATTAGTGGGAGAGGACACTGAGCCACGGCTGAAGCTTCTGCCTGTGCGTGGCATGGTGCAGTCCCTCCCAACATTGCCCTTCGAGCCCACTGAGGTCTGGCTTTCCGCCCTCTCTAGGGACAGGTACTCGTAATGACCTATGCCGGATCTTCCCAAGGAGTTGGTCCTGTTAGCTAGCTGTTCTAGCTTTGCGCTAAAGAGTCTACTGCTCTCTAGATTAGCACCTTTTGGTTTTCCAGTAAGGGCAAAATCCTCAGATGTACCTGCTAGCAAAGACGTATGGTTGAGTGTTTGAGTGCTGCCTGAGCTATGCTGTGGACTGGCTCTATTCTTCTGATCTAGACTAGACTTTCTTACTGGTGGTAGAGGGGGAATCCCTTTCGGCCGTGCAAAAAAGCCTTGTTTTGCAGACGAGCCTCTCCTTTCCAGCGTGGCCCTGGGGCTGCACGGTGTGGAAGTGGTGACACCTAAGCCTTTCCCCTCCCCGCTCATGGATCGCAGAGACCCCTCCTCAAGGTCATCCTGTCTGTTCAGACGATGCCAACCGCGTGGAAGGCTAGCCGTCCTGAAAATGCCTGCCGAATACAAAGAGGTCGGGCATTCCAATGTGTTTAAGACCATTTCGCAGCCGTCCACAACCCTCTTCAAGGCGTCGGGTGAGCAGGCTGTCTCTCCGCTGCTGGAGCTCAGTCTGTCAGCTGGGCTCCAGTTAGTCACTGCATTCACTGGCCTCTTCTCCGGCTTTCCCTCGCAGACCAGTTCCTTCAGCTTGGATTCATCATCATCCCGCTTAAACCATGGGTCATCAAAGCTGATTTCAGTGGAAAGTGGGACAGGAGGTGTTCTGGAATCCTTGATTTTCGGATTCTTGGCGGGTACTTGACCAGGGTCCTGTGCAGACATGGGCTTCACGGCAACACAGGGGTGAATATTGATGTTAGTCTTGAAGCTACCGGAGTCCCCGAATGTTTGCATGTTAGAAACAGAGGCTGTAGTTTTGCCGAGCAAAGGAATCTTTTTCGGTTTTTCCTTGCTTGCAGGGCTTTTCACATTTCCGTTCTCAGCATCCACTTGCGCAGCACTGTTCTCTTGGCTCTTGCCTGCACTCAAGTAGCCAAGGTTGTTGCAGTGTGCCATCTCTGAACGGTCATGCTGCTGCAGCTCAGCCAGTGCGTCCCCCTGACTGTGACATTGCTGAGCAACAAAGCTATGACAGGACTGGTCCCCATCGCTTCCAGTGCTCATTTCACTAAGCCAGGAACTTATGGAGGAGCGACAACTTGGAACGGAGGCCACCTCTCCCTCAGTCTTAAAGAGAGGGAGGAGCTTGTTGAGGTTCACCTCTGAAATCGGTGCAGTGGTAGCAGTGGAACTGGGGAAGACCTCCAGGTCCTCACTCATGCTGCTAATGATACTAACAGGTCGTGACCCCGAGGCTAGGGCCTGCACAGAACAGTCGCTGTTGAAGCTTATGATGCTGGTGGGCCGGCCGTTTTCCATCACCCCGTTGATGGTGAGCTCCTCCACTAGCGTGAACACCAGCTCATCCTCACCGTTTAGCTCCAGCGGCTGCTGCATTGTCACGGTGGTGGTGCTCTTTGCCTCCTTCTTGTCGTCCAAAGGTAGCTGTGGCAGGTCGTCGGCCAAGGTCTCAGCAGAACCCATGCTGATAGAGGAGGAGGACATCATGACTTGTGGGCTCATTCCGGCAGGTGAGGTCCTGGAATCGTGCTGCAGCAAGGACTCAGTGGAGGATTTCCCACTATCCCTGTTCAGGGCATTAGATGACAGGGGCGGAGTACCAGGCACGACACCTTTCTGGGTGTATACTTTGCAGCGCTGGGATGGGGAAGAGGGGGCTTTGTACTCTGAGGTTTTAGACAAGCTGGCAATGCCCAACCTAGGAGAACCCATTGGGCGTGACTTACCCTCACTAGAAATTGATTCCATGCTATCATGCAGGGTAGGGCTCATGCTTCTCTGAGAATCGCTTGTTTGAATGAGGTTGCTGCCTGTCACACTCCTACAGCTGGACAGGGTGCAGCTGCTTGATATCGACAGACTTTCAATAATGGACTTGGCGATCTCTGCCTCCTCCACCACCTCTTGAATTTCCTCAAGCTGCTGGTCATTAGTGAGTTTCTTAGCCATGCGTGATGCCACATTGTTTTTGATTTCCTGTCCCCAGGCAGGCACAGGGTCCAGTTTGGTGACCCGGTTGGCCGGAAGCTCCTCAAAAGGGAAGCTGCTGACCTCCTCGCTCCCGTCGATGCACTCCAGCCGCTCCTGCAGTTCAGCAAAAGTGTTGCACTTGAGGCAGTCTTTCTCCTGTTTTCCAGAATCAGCACCCTCTTCTGCTATCTGCTGTTGCTGGATTGGCTGGATCTGTTGCGTTGACTCTTGCAGCTTCCCCTGTTCAACTTTGTTCTTATGCAGAGATGGAATAATTGGCACGAACTCGGGGGGACCCTCGTTATCTGTCAGCTCCTTGTCTGACAGGGCAGAGCCATTCGGTCCCACATAGATAACTGTGTCACATGACTGCTCACTGCTGGAGTAGTCGTCAGGGTCACTTGCAAGGTGCAGAAGGGGTAGGTCGGGATCCACAACATTCCGGGAGTTGAATGTCCTTAGCTGCGTAGGTCGGCGCATCTTTCCCTCCTCACAGGAACTCTCCCCCCCTGAAGAACTGGATGTGTACTGCTGATGGGTCAGAAATTTTTGTAATAAGTGCAAGTAGCATCACACGTACATTCACTCAAAAAGCAAAAGCACGCAAACTCATCACAGAAAGAGCTGAAGCTGGATCCAAACCAAACATGGAATGGTGTCACAATACTACCTGCTCAGCTATCAGAACACCCACACATTCTGATAGTCTACCCTCATCTGAAAGCCCTGCTGAAAAAACAGCTAAAAACCAGCATATTCTGGTAGCTGGTTTTAGTTAGTCTGAGACAGTTTAGGCGTGTCCCAGATGTCCCAGCTCTTGCTGCTCTTTGATAGTTTAGCTGGGTGGGTCTCACCAGTTGGTCATGCTGGTGTGGGCAGCCTATCAAGCTGATCGTGCTGGTATGATCAACTAAACCATCAAACCATCACATGAAAACATACCTTAAGATGGTCTACTATCAAAAGTTGGTCAACAGCTTAACCAGCTTAAGCTGTTTTCTTTTTGGCAATGAGGACTCTTACTTTTGCCTTCTTCTTCTTCATCCTGAGAACCCGCGATGCAATCTGGATGGTGGACAGGGTCTCAGAGAAGTGACTCGGCGAGGCGGAGATGTGGGCGATCATCGTGGTGCGGCAGTTCATGTTGCCCAGTGACTCGCGCAGCAGCATGGTCAGCTTGCTGTCTCTGCAGCACACAAAAGCAGCATTCTTCCTGTTCAAGCCTGCCAACTACCAAGTGGGTAAGCAATTTACACCTATTTATGAATGAAGTTCCCTCCAAAAATTGTGTTAGAATGTCACACGGAATTTGTGATGCACATATTATAGAAACGTAATACTGGACTATTAAAAAGGTTTTGTGAGGCTTGTATAAATATTAAATAATGTGCTGAGCTGTTATTTTCTAGTTTAATTAATTCTCATGATATGTGTTAACTCCCCTTATTCATTTCCTTTAATTTGTTTGGGTCTTAAATACATTAGTTTTCCTTTAATGTCTTACTAGAAATATTTTATACCCACGGGGTGTGGAAAATGTGAAACCCAAGTGACTGCCTTCTAATAATATAAGATTTTTGACCAGTTTGTAAGCAGTCAATGTACATTTTATTCTGTGTTACAGCACCAGATATTTTAATGCTGGTTATTGATTCATAAGCATAGTGGATAAAGACGAGCCATAATGTTTTGCATGTGTGATGTCTCTGGTGTTTAATGCATTAATCTCTTAGCTTACTGTAGCTTTTAGCGAGGGAAAGTTCTGAAAATGTTTGAGGCCTGCAGGGATGAGAGATCATTTTCATGTGTTTGAAAAGCAGCTTTCGGGCAGCACTGGCTTGTCGGTTAGCTTCCCACAGATGAGTGAGCTTTATCTCTGGCCCATGGCAGCCACTAGAGGGGATATGTGATTGATGGGCAACTGAGAAACGTCAAATCAGTACACAACCTAGTGGTGTCCTCAAACCCCAGGAACTTGGGGCATGTAAAGAAATAATTTCAATGATTCAAAATCCCATTTTGGAAATGACATGCTGACTGATTTTCATTACCTTCGACTACATGAGTGAAAGTCATGTGCTATTGTGCAAGGCTAATGCACAAGGGTAGATGGCTGTGAAGGGGGCACTATAAAGACTATGAAAGGCTGTGTATGGATGCAACATTTCAAAAAATGCAATCTTGTATAATATCAGAACAAGGTAATTAGCAGAAGTTGAATGCAGATCATGCACTGCACACAGCTTACTGTATGGACATCGGTATGCCTGTGTTTAAGACAAATGAATTATGGTGGCCCTTGGCAAAAGACTGCTGCTTGTTAATTGTTGCTTTGTTTTCTGTTTCGTTATTGTAAAGACTATGTCTTGGGTTGTCTTACTGCAAAATACACATTTTGGTTTTCCAGATTTTTTTCTTTTATATTTTCTTTTGCCAAGAATGACTGTTGAGCTTTCATCTACTGTTGGCCAATTCCAATGAAAAAATATTACAAAATAGATTATTTATTTTTGCATATGGAGAAAATGTGAAAGCAGATTGGGACATTTAGTTATGCAAAGTTTTAATATGAAAACTGGATGCAAAGTCTCAGTTGGATCAGATATATCTTCAGGACATTCGAGGCCATGAAAATTTAATGATGCTTATTCACAAAAACAACAAATTTAATTAAAACAATATCTCTAACTGGCATTCAATTCCCAGCTATTTTGTTTGATTTTTTTGTTTATGTTGTGCTTTTAGATTTCAGATAAAGCAAAGTTCACTACTTCTCACATTAGTAAAGTGGTACTACCTTTGAGAAAAAAACAGTGAATAACTTCAATGCAAGCAAGCAATTTCATTGCTTGTTCTGATAGTTGAATTTACATAAAATCTACATAAAATCAGAATATATGTAGCTGTGAATCTGTCAACTGTGCATCTTAAAAAATGCAAACTGAAGTGTTAGATTTAATATATTAGAGGCTCTTAGCCAAGGATCTGTAAAATATTTAATCTTGTATATGTAGTGATACTGTTTTTCAGTGTCAAAAGCAACAGTATATCCAAGACAGGTGTGAATTTTGAGACCAAGTGGCTGTTGATGAAAAAATTACAGTACTGATAATAATAATGATACAATGTAAAATAACATGTCTACAGTTTGTCAATGTGATTAAATAAACATAATGGGTATTGTAGTGAAGCAGAGACCTTCCAACGATACAGACGTATTGTTTTACAAATGAGCTGCTCTTGCGTATTGGAAAGTAAATGTTGGAACTGAGTAAGCCATAGGCTAAACTTAAGCCTGCTTATTTCTCTTATTATAAAGGTGCCTGCAGCTACAATTGGTTTCATTCATTAGACTGAGTATTTCACTTTGTTAATTATTTTTTTTAAATACAGAAAAAAATACGGAACAAAACTTCTCATCTGACAATGAAAACAACACTTCTGCAGAAGGACAAAAGAATGAAACTGGTAGAAATCAGCTTATTAAATTAATGAAAGAAAGACTCCTGGCTTTTGCATTGGCTTTATGTTAATTTATGTTACATTTAAGCAATATCTTCAAAATACTGCACTTATTCTAAACGGCCTGAAACTCTAATAATGTAATTCTCTCCAGAGTGTTCACTATTCCAACTTAAACCAACCTTTTTCTTTGCAATGTAAATTTGACATGATTAAATAAAAAATATTTTAGCCCAAGAGGAAGAGATCTGGCTCAAAGTTTGCATATTTTTATTTCAAAGTTTTATCGCAATACCTTTATGGTTTTTAGCCTACCTACTCCATTCTATATGCTTAATTAAATCTATATTCAAAATTTGAATGGATTGCAATAAATCATCCAATAGCTTCCCTTCTTTATCCAATTACCTTTCAATTGCTTACCCAGTGCAGGGTTGCAGCCAATCACAGGCAGTGAAGGTCACATGCCAGGGGACGACATTACAAGGCACAAACACACAGTGTACGCTCAACTGCATTCTCAGAAACCGACTCAACACGCAAAGTCCACACACAGAGTGGGTCAGTATTCCAGCCTCCAACCCTGGGAGTCTGACGTCAACATGCCCCCCCCCCCCTTTGTCATATTTTCCAAACCTTATTCCAAAACTTATCTTGACTGCAATGTTTTCCTTCTCGAGATATTAACAGCCAGATGCTTTGAACTGATAAATCAGCAGCCACACATATTTTAAATGTGATTTTTCCACCTTGTTGCCTAAAGAGAATTGAGGAGGTAATTTCCAAAAGTCACAGGATATGTTTTCAAGAAAATATCTGTAATGACTCTTGGAAATGTAATGAAAGCTTTTTATTGGATTACATGAGGACTGACTGAGTTTTGGTTCACAATACTGTAACATATGATGAGAAAGTCTGACTTTAGGTTAAAAAAAAAAAAAAAAACTCCAAACAATGGACTGAGTGAATTTTGGAAATTTAACATGAGGACTGAGTGAGTTTTGGTTCCCAGTACTGTTGATGGAACTGATGAGGAACCATGACTTTAGGTCACTGGTGGTCTCATCATTAAAAAAAAAAAAATGGACTGAGTGAGTTTTGGTTTTCTCATGATTTCTCGATTCTCATGCCTGCCCATGAGCAGACACAGAGGGAGGGGGCATTACTTGTAGGGGATGTGCTTGCTGCCATTGACCAGAGCCAGGATGACGTTGCCCAAGGCGGCGAGGGAGAGGCAGAGGCCGGCGGTACTATCGCGGGTCTTGCTGAGAACCTTCACGCAACTGCCCATGTCAATCAAATGCAGCCTGCTCCTGCCACCAGACACTGATGAAGAAAAGAGAACATGGGTAAGGGTGGGAGCAGCAGAATGTATATGTGAAGAACCGCAGGACTAATAATGTAACGAGATGCTGCCGGAACAGTGCATTAGATGGTGGGAGGGGTCTAATCCCTACTAAATGATACACCTCCACCCCCCCCCCCCACATACACTCTCCTCACCTGTCCAAAAAAACTTCCACATAAAACATCACATAAAAACCCCAACTTTGTGTGACTTGTCTCAATGTACTCAGGTTCACCAGTTCTGTGTCTGAGGCTGCCCTTCTCTTTGTCACCACTATGAGGCGCTGCTTCAGTTTCCGTGAGATTTGTCTCAGAATTTGAGCAGTTTCAGATCTTCATAAAATGTGGCTGCTCAGTTTGAAAAAGATCCATCAAATACTTTTTCTGTTATCGCGCTAACAAGATAAGTGGGTCTCAAAACCATATCCATTCCCTGTCCACTGATCAGTAGGCCCTCTTTATTTATCCTCTCTCCTATTAAGATATTAACAATTAAAACACAAGCTTGTATCCAAAGGATTGTGCAGTGTTTTATGCTTATGTAAGGTTGTGCTTGAGCCTCACAGCAACTGGGCCTAGACACATGTGCGCAAGACACACTTTGGAGAAACCTTTGTTTGTTCACCTTGAGTGGAGAGGATATTACAGATGCTGTGAGATGACTGATTTAAACCTTTTTTGCAGTAGAATGTCAATGACATACATAAGTAACAAGAACTAATCTAAAAATTCCACTGCTAATACCAACTGTTATAAAGCTATGAAGGTGTATCTTTCTTTTTTTAAAAAATCACTCATTCAAATACATGTAACACTGACCTTGTTTATCACATATTGAGTTGAAAACATTTATAGCTGTTGTTCAACATAAACTGAGGAGAGTTTAAAGGAAGAACACCCTCCAACTTTCGTACAAAAGGGCTCTGTAGCAAGCATGTTAAGACGAATGAGTGGCCAATCTTTTAATAGTATCGTTGAACCTATTTCCGTTATAAATTTTCTGATTTCCCCTCCACCAATAAAAGACATATTACACTGGATTCTGTAAAATAGGACATGTGCTATGCTCAGCTCAGATCAAAATGTATACGTGTACGTATATAGAGCGATCATTGTGTACAATCTTGGAATTAAGTCAAGTATGTATACCACCCAAGGGCCAGTGAGAACATCTGGTTCTGCTTTGCGTTTTTGTGCAACCCTTGTAAAGCAAGCAGGCCGCCCAAGTTAGACAGAGGTCCCTGTGATAAGGGAAATTACTTATGTTCTCAGGAAACAGATAGCATTAGCGCTACAGTGCCTCAGATTAGACTTCTCCCGGCACATTTCTGCTGCCAAAGTGAGGAACTCGCACCCCCTCAGTGGCACCCGCTCAGAATACGATTAGCATTGAACATCTATTTATACACTGGGCCTGAAACTTCTGAGGCTGGCAGAAGACATCATACCCTGGATGATCAGCACAATGGCCATTTCACATATGGCCTTTAGTTAGCCACCAATCAAGATTATTTGCAAATGGAAAGCTCAGATTTTGATGTATGAATGTTTAATTCATAGAACACGCAGTACCCCATGAAAAGAATACCTTCTGGCTAGCTTACTTTCAGAGGCGGACATTTCAGGTCCAGAAAGTAAAAATCCAAACCAGGATTTTGTTTCAACCAACCAGTTGAGTACTCTGTCATTGTGACTCTTTATAGTCAACTGGTTGGTTGAAACAAAATCCTGGTTTGGAGTTTTACTTTCTGGACCTGAAACGTCCGCCTCTGCTTACTTCTCAGTAGGTCTTTTTTAGCCTATACCCTAACATACACTGGGAAGCAATCATCAGCTTCTCTCTGCGAAATGCTGTTAGTGGAGATAGAGTGGGAGGGGCTGACACGATGCCATACTCTGTAGGCAAAGTGTTCATGGGGGGAGACAGGGGCATCACTATGGCTGTTTTAGGGAGGCTTTAGCCCCTCCCAAGATAAATGTAGTATGTTCTCATTCATCTTCATTAAAATCAGACTCCCTCCCAGTGAAGGCTTAGCGCCCCCCCCCCCCTTTTATAAATCACATGTGATGCTCCTGGACGTCGGGACTCACTGCCGCCCTTTCCACTTTTCTCCATGCGATACTGGTAGATGTGCAGCGTGAACAGCATGTGGGAGTTGCGGTGCTCCTCTTCGTCGCAGTCGGGCTTGCTGCCGTGGCGAGAGGCGATGGCCGCATCCAGGAAGAAGGCCGCTTTCTCTGCGCTGGGGGCTCGCAGCTCGCTTTGGTTCTGAAGCTAGAGGGATAGGGGGGAACATGCACACAGTATCATAACCAAGTATTCCACACACATTGCATTTTGACCAAGCAAACGGGGCTGGAAACCAAACCTATTTGTGTACTGTACAGATTATAGATCGCACATAGGATTAGGTTTCAATTTGGGTTTGGCTTTGGGTTTGAGGTTTTTTTAATGTGACCAAATGAGAAAGATTCTAATGGATGTTGTTCCTCTGAATGGGCAAATATTGCAGTGATTTAGTGGCCAGAACATGATCAATATACTTTTGAAGAAGCTATTCAGCAAGACACAGTTTGTAAGAACAGATTCCACTGCCTAGTCTGAAGCTGATCACAACAAAGATGATTAACCTCTATTACCAATTACACAGAAACAAATCTGAATGTTTGTAATTATAAAACAGTTTGAAAAAGAGAATCAGTGAAGAACAGTTGGATTCTGTTTGAATAATATTACAGTATTTCAAGTCCAGCTTGCAGATTATTGAATAGATACAGAGGTAGACCAATCCCTGATGCCTTTGACATAGTTTTTTAACAAAGAAAGCTTTGTACAGCATTCATTGGTATTTTTAAAATAGCATAAAGTAAAAATAATTTGCAGATAGATGATTTTGAAATCCACAAGCAGAAACAGTACTCTGTAAAATAATGATAAAAAATACAGTATAGTATATATATAATCCAGTAACATATTGTTTATTGTGTACTGTAGATAATTGTGCATGCTATACTTTTATACGACTGGCAGACAGTAGGTTTTTTTACACCCACATGACCACAAACACGTGACTAAGCGCTATGATGTTATAACAGTTACGACGTCTCTTGGAGATAAGAATTTTTGAGCTCCATAATAATCTTAGGTGATCAGCATTACATATGTGGTCTGTCGTTGACTGAAACGTCTTAATGTGGCGCATGACTGCATTGGAATAGAAATACAAAGTCACAAGGTCACACTTAAAAGTAATGAATTCCTACTGTGGCATTTTCTTGTAATTTCAAAGGCATTTCAAATGTAATTTTAGTCTGCACAATGCATAATTGTGACCTAGCAACCTATTAATTTAAGGTATTTGGTAATTATGCCTTCTGTAGAAAAATCTAGAAAGCTTACAATACCAGTCCGATACCTTATTTACTAATTATTTATTATCGCATTTGAGGTAACAGGTAATACCTGAATTAAACATTTTTGGTGATAAATGAATCATTCTTTTATAATACCATTGCAATAACCTTGTCATCTTACCTGCATTCCACAGATGGGGTCCTCGCAGAGAAATACACCTGGAGATTGGCCGTCTTGCAGGCTGCCTGTGGCCACTTCGGACAGCAGGTCTTTCAGGTTCTCATCCTTTCCCCAGACTTCTACAGCTGACACCCGCACAGAGAATCTAGCACCTGTCTTCTCCTTCCGCTCATTGATCAGCTTGAAAAGCCAGGAAATGGCACAGGGGATGATGCCCAGGTTCTGCATGGAGTCGTCCTTCCCTATCATTGTATACGACTTTCCTGTTGGACAGAGATAAGTGCACTTTCAGCCAGACTCCCTGACTGCGGGCCAGGACACCGCATTCACTGGAAATGTTCGAGTTCTGTGTGTCACAACACCCACACGCACATGTGTGCCTTAGAATCACACCCACACTAAGATCTTCTACTAAGCAACTGTCTGTTAAGATGCCAGCATTAGCTTTGCTAAACAAAGTAACTCAGAGCTAAGCTGTATTTTTCATAGGTTTTCCGCTATCAACTGCACGTCACATTATTTATGAATAGAAAATACAATCAATGATAGATATTTAAGGTTCTTTGTGATTCATTGCCAGCTGGTTACATTATCATGGGATGCCTGTTAAATTTGTTTAGTGTCAAAAATATTTCAGATCCTTAACTTTTGTTGTGGGTATCAACACTGTCTTCAAGTTCAGCAGGCAATCCAATTCTTTCACACTATTCCAATACCTGAACACTCTGTTCATTAGTTTACTGTTAAAATCAGGTTGGCAGGTGATGGAAGTTAATAGTAGAATGAGTTTTTCCTCAGCTGAACTAACCTCTGCTTTAGCGGTCTTATTATAAATTCACTTTCTGTGATTAGCTTTCTGGTGCTTTACATGAAAGAAATCTATTAAAATGTATGTATTCTGTGATGAATTGCATAATCTGCATAATTTGTTATGAAATATGTCTTTAAATTATTATTTGGTGCCCCAATATAATATTCTAGCAATGCAATTCATGTCATGTCTGAATGTCTGAATCTATACAGTAATTTGAACTCTCTTCCACTTGTATTACTATTTCTAATACAGTATCGTGAGAGACAGGCCTCAGCTATCCTTAGGTGATATGCTGATATTGCAGAATGCAGTACATCATCTTACCTTCCTGAAGTTTGAGGGCGATTGCCCATGATGGACACAGTCATACAACGGAATTGGAAAGGTAAGAAATTCAATCAAAAAGTATTTATCTATAAGGATAAATCATAAAATCCAAATTAACTTCAGAGACTATAGTTTCCACTGAGCCATAAAAGGTGAAGTATACCCCGTGATAAGGAATCCTTTCCGTCATTATGAGCAGGACTCCTATTGTAACCATAAAAGAAAGGGCTGTTGATCTTTACGGCACGAACACAATCATCAGAATCCGCAAGACAGAACATGTAGAATTAATCTGTAGAATTTGTTTTGCTTTGTTGGTTATTTTAGGACATGAATAAGCAGAATTCATGACCGTCAGCATGCCTACACCATTTATTTATTACTGCCAGCTATGCTTTAATTCTTCTATGACTGAAAATGCAAAATGTTTGAGCATAAATTTGCACATTTTCTGCTAAGGAAACCAGTCCTCTACATAATGCACAAACTATGAGAAAAGACCTAAATAATTTACTGCTGTCTATACATAGTTAAACAGAGAGATTAAAATTATACTGAAGAAGAAGAAACAATGAAAACAACTTAAACTAGTCAAATTGTCAGCTGTCAGTTAAGACGTTATAGTGTGTATAAAATATATGTACTTAGTTTGAGCTCATTCTTCAAAACTGGTCCTTTCTAGTTTCAGTGTAACATTGTATGAAAGCTGCTAGTTTTTTGTTTATGTCTGATAATTATAAACAAATGACTATGAACACTTTGCTTACGCCTTTGTTGGTAAAGGCTATTTAATTAATATACCATTCAGTTACCATTGGTTCAGTCTTTGGTGAATAAATGCTGTAATTTGAAAGAAGAGGAACAAGAGGTACTACATTGGCTTTTTAATGCTGGTAGAGCAGGTGATTTCATCAGCAAATAAAGAGAGAAGCAGCTTCACATTTTGAGTATTATGTCTACAATCCAGCGAACATTAATGTTACCCTACTGATTAATTACCGAGGTATTCAATCTCTCAAAAGGATCTGACATATTTTAAAAACCGCGCTGAAATACTGAAAGCATGCAAGGATGTTTTGACATTCATTGTGAAAACAATGACCAAAATGGTATTTCAAAATGCTTTGTAGAAAGCCTCTCAGAGCATGTAAAGCAGAAAAATATAGCCACAGTAACAGGAGGTTCATATTTTACGAGTTTCATTGACATTATTGCCTGTAGCTGTTGTACAAAAACCAAGTAAATGTATTGCAAATATGCAAAACTCATTGACTTTACCATTTCTAGTAACCATGTCAACAATATGATTGTACACATAGGTTGTGATGCATCTTAGCAACAACAGCCAGCTAGTTACCACTAACAATAATAAAAAGTGCAATTTCAAAAAGAAGGGAGCATAAAGGGGTTTATGCACATGAGACACGTGGTTATGTTTTCACGGAAGAAGCCACATACTCACCAAGCTTGGAGTGTCCAAAGCAGAAGACACAGCCATCTGCTCCATTGACTACAGACTGTATGACCTCAGCCACTGTACCTGCACATACCTCTGCCTGGAGATAGCGGGGGCATGAGGGGTCACTCATTTGTGGGTCAAAATAATTCACACCAGCTTAAGAATGTCCCACAATATGGAGAAAGGCACTGCACTCCTAAAAGAGTGCTAACAGAGCTATGGTGGTCTAGGGTGAAGAATGGACTAGGTACAGTATAATCAGATAACAGATGTATTACAAAATAGGTACAAAGGATGGACTAGGTACAGTATAATCAGATAACAGATGTATTACAAAATAGGTACAAAGGATGGACTACATCCACATTTGACATTTTTAGGTTTTTGCATGGCTAGATATTATTACATATGATTAGATAATTAGGCACATATGTGTCATGTTAGCTGATATTCAAGAGAGTAAAGCAGGAATATTCATGGGTTTCAGCTATAAACCTTTTTGTCACTATTTTACCTATTTTTAACTACATCACTGTAAAATGTAAAATGTGGCAATTGTTTTATGGCCTATAATGCATTGCACACTACAGTTACAGATTGTAAAACGATGAAAGTCATTTATTGATGAATTTTTATATAAAAGCCACAGCAATTTGACATAGTCTACCATGTCACCTATTGTGACGTTTTATTATTATTCATCACACCAATGTTTACCTGTGAGGCATCATGGGGGAAGGCAGCGTCAAAGGCGAACATCTTGGGTGGAACCTGGCTGACTCCGCCCCTTTTGTGGGAGGAGCTCTGCGGCCCGTTGGCTGCCGGGTCCATTATGGTGACCTGTTTTTTACGAGGGTCCACCTTGAGGAAGGAGCTGGACTCAGATGTGTCTGCTGATGATACTGGGCAAACCCGTAGCATCACTTTAACCTAAACGAATAAACACAATAAAACAACTGTAGTATGCTGGATACAGAGGCTTTCTTACTACATAAAGGCCTTGACTAGGTAACACAGGTGTATTTTCTGGAACATAGAAATATTCCATAACTGTTTTAACTACTTTTCTGTATAACATTTTGTGAACTATTGAATTATGTGTTTTCCGGCATCTACTGAAATGCTTGTCTGTTTGTTTGTTTGTTTGTTTGTTTGTTTGTTTGTTTGTTCTTGCCATTTGGTATAAGCAATGCAAGGATAATAGAAGACTAGACATCACCAGGCAAACATGTTTCAAAAAGCAGCATAAGCTCATGCTAAAATCAGCCACTGGATTATGGTCTGAAGTGTTTGGTTTACAGAGAGTGGGTCTGTTGTCACAAACAGGGACACTTGTACCAAAAAGCTGCTGCATCCAGGGATATAAACACAATCCGTGTGACACATATTCCATCACAGGATGAAATCTTCAGAGGCGTTGTGCACTAGACAGATTCTAATGCAGCCATTTATACTCTGACAACATTATCACATGCTGTCGTTGCTTTCTGTCTCGTTTCAGGAGGCAAACACAAGACATAAATCCAAAACTGTACACAAAGTCAATACTGTTATGTCTTTTGAGCTGCCTTGAGAGGACCTCCCTGAATTTACATCTGTGTCAGAAGTTTAAACCTCTGTCGTCCTGTCAACAGAGGTTTGAGGGGAAAAAGCACATTTTTCATTCATTAATCACATTTCAAAACCTTTTCAGATAGAAAACACCAGTCAACAGAGGTGCAGCTGGAAAATTTATCACAGTATATTCTGCATGTGTGGTATATGCACTGGTTTGCGTGTTGATTTCCATTTGCCTTTACTGCTTTTGAAAGCCAAAGCTCGCAATTCCAATCTGGCCTGGTTGGACAAAATTGATTACCTACAGCACCAATGAAATCAAGTGATCCAATGGCAGAAACAGCCCTGTCATTGCTCACTTGAGTCTGACATTACTCAGCTAGGCCACCATCCACTATAGTCATGTGCTGTGCGTTTATGGGCCAGGAGGCACCATGCTAGGCTTCATATGCTGAACAGCAAACCTCTTCCTCAGCTGTGCAGCTTTCCTGTGAAGCTCGTCAGCCTCCATAGCTATTTTAGCTTTTGTAGTTATTAGCTACAATTAGTCTCTGTAGCTATTTTAGCTTTTGTAGCGAAGTACAGAAATGCTTGTTGGTATTAACAACAAGTTGCTGGCACAGTTGAATTGTGAATTTGTAGAAAACTACAGAAGACATAGACTGACGTATTGAAATCATCAGTATTTTCAAGACAAAATTACATCTCAAATGTAACATTACTAAAATAAATTACATGAAGGATGCCATTCATGTACAACCTGCATATCAATACCATGTGTGTGTAAAAAAAAATATATATATTTTTTTTAACACATGTATTAAAAAATGAGGTTTTATGATCCAATATCAGCATTCTACATATACACATGATAAAAATTCTTTCCCTAAGTTGCATCATTGTGCCATCAAAATGGTCATATGATGGGAGGAATAACTGGGCCATGTGTCCTGCTGCAGGGTTTCCCAGTCCGGTCCTCAGGGACCCACAGACAGTCCATGTTTTTGCTCCCTTCGAGCTCCATGCCAGACAGTCCACAGTTTTGCTCCCTAACCAAAAACATGGGCTGTCAGTAGGTCCCTGAGGACTGGATTGGGAAACACTGTCCAACTATAACAGGGCAGCTCTCTGTTAGTGTTTCACAGACAAGACAATGTGGTTAAAATACAAACAGCCCCATGGCACACAAGTTTAAAGACAGAAACTGAATATGGTATCACATCACCATATCTTGCACCAAGACTGGCAAAAAGAACAGTAAAATGAAAACTTAGAGATTCTAAATTCTGGTGCAGAAATGATAGAGAAATCTACTTCTTTAAGATCCAGGTGAAGTATTGTGACAATGTCACATTGTTTGCCTTTGGTAAGATCTGTTTGTTAGCTCTGTATGGCATTTCGAAGGTGTCAGGTGTTCACCAAGAACGAGTAGAGAACCAGAGAACAGTATGAATTTTCTGTATCTGTCTTTTCCATACATTGAATGTATTATATCAAAAGAAAATCTATTTCTCATATAGAGTCTAATACAGCTAAACTAATTACAGATTAATTTCTGAGAACACCGAAAGTTTCAACTTGCAACACATTGTTCATTGTGTTTTTAGGACTGTAACAGCAACTGTAAACACAGTATATGAAAATCCTTCAATGGCAGAATAAATGCACTGCTATTGCCAATCCGAAATGGCACATGCTCTATTTAGCTTCTTTTTTTTTTGTAACAAATAGAATAGGTTCAGGGTTGTTTGTGGCAACAAAACAAAACGCTGGATAATACAATATGTAAATTAGACAATGGGTGGGATGGGGGACACTTCCGGATGCAGGTGTATTAGCCGTACGATAGCTAGGCAGGTTAATGAGGATACCATCAGTAGGGGAGGACATTCATTAGCCATGACCCTCCCAAGGGGAATGGACAAGCATGCACTGAATGAAATGATACATTGTTTGTGGTAATTCATGTCAATAACTGGGAAAGGGATTTGAAATTTCAAGCTCACGGATACCAGGCATTATAAATGGGGCACATAATCATCTACCTCCAAAAATCAAAATCAAGAACTGATATTTGCATAATACGGCAGTCACATACTTCATACCTTTAATGCATATTCAATTACATCCAATACTGTGGATGAGAAAACCCATAATCGAGCTATGTGGGCTGAAGTTTGTAATATAATTTAATTTGTGGAAGTTACAGCAGATCTTCAGCTCCATAAGCTGCTAGGTTAGATTCAGGAGACACTATGGCCTCTTTCTGTTGATGCTCATTACCTTTATTTCCTCATGAATAGTACTTAGCCTTGCAAAAACATTTTTATCTGTGTCCCAATGTAATAAGGTATCTCTTGTCTTTTCATAGAACTTGTGTAAAACTTAATTGCACTGAGCACCAGAGGGAAAAAAAGACTGTTACCTAATGAGGCATAAATGTTCTGGACTACAGTCATACTAAGTCTAGTTCCTCATTAAAGAACATCTGACTTTCCACTCAGTGTATTCGGATGCACAGTTTTTTCTCCTGATAGAACACTAATGTACAACATTGATTCAGCATCACCACCAAGCTGTTAGCAACAGTTTAGAAATGTTAGGCATTGGACCTGTTGCTAGAGAGTTCCATTAGAGTTTATAGAATCCATAAACATCCCTAATTTACATCTCTTTACTATTTTGCATTTCATACAAGGACATAAGTAGCTTACCACAATGACTCCCGCATATTCAATGAACCGCAGTCCCAGTTGGGCAATTTATTTTATTTTTTATAAATCAAAATATATTTCAGGATCTGCTTATCTTTCCTTTAGCTGTGCATCTTAAACAGGGATTAACAGATATGAGGCCTAGATCACAGCATGAACCAGAAAGCAGCATCGCTCATGTGCTGGCAGTGGGAGGCGAGGGGGAGGCTGACAAAGCAGCATGATTGGAAACTGATGCACACACATATCTGGACTGAATCATCACAATGGTGAACATTTCGATAGGAAGCCTGAAGAAAACAGGAGATATTAGGGGTGAAATGAAATGTGCAACTACAGGTTCATTAGAATTCTCCTCTTTGCCTGCCTCACCGTGCTTCTCACGAGACACACAGGCGGGTGGGAGAAGCCTGAGGGGCACAGGCGGGTGGGAGAAGCCTGAGGGGCACAGGCGGGTGGGAGAAGCCTGAGGGGCACAGGCGGGTGGGAGAAGCCTGAGGGGCACAGGTCAGGGCCAGTGGGCTGGGAGACTGGGCTTTAATGGCCGTGCGCAGGAGCCCATGGACGTGTGACTATTCTGCTGAGTCCAGGGCTTGAATTGGCGACTTTCTGATCACAGGCAGAGAGGCTTAGCCTGCAGAACTACTCACCGCCCCCATGGCGGGGGCGGGGGGGGGGGGGGAGGTAATCTTTACAGTCACCCAATAATGATGATGATGATGATGATGATGACAGCATCTAAGTAATGTAAAGTGCTGAAGCAGGAAGCAACTCGACTGGACTGGTGATGGTATCTTCAGGTGATGTCATTCATATACTGGTCTTTTTTAATAGCATTTCTACTGGGATTTTATCATTTTTATCATTTATTTTTCCTGATCTTGTACTGGATGTGCAGTTATGGATGGATGGATGGATATCAAGTTCCACTTACTGCTTAAAATCTAAAAATCTGAAAGGTAGTGGCTTGAAAGTAGGGGGGCACCCCCCCCCCCCTTTGTCTGCGTGCTTGGGATGGAGTGACACAGAGTGCAAGAATAATGAGATTAGCAACCCCTGGTCAGAAGGCAGTCATGCGACGGCTCTCGTGACTGCACATGCTGCATATATTTTTTAACATTAGGTACATTCATTAAGATATTTAACTGTTAACATTGTTAATATTTTTGGACTATACCAAAATGCATTATTTTATAGGGGAGATCTGGCCCGTTTGTTGAATTTTTTTGCGTGTCATTTTTCATAAAAATGAAAATGTAATATATATATAAATATTATATAGGAATATGACACATATATCAAATTTAGTTACCAGTTCGACAAATGGTATTACGTTAGTCATTCACATGAAGTTGATACTATGCTGAAAGGCAGCTTCCGAATTTTACGTATTTTCTTACTGTGCAGGTTATTTGATTGCTTAGTGTAACGCAAAATAAAACACTGGTTCCATTTGGCCCGGAGGCTGTGTTATGAGCAGACAACTCAAAGGGGTCAGATCTTATCCCAGGACCTCTGGTGCGAAACAGACACAGTGGCATGTGTGCAGAGGCATGTGTCCTGGCTGGAGCGCGAACATCTACTGCCCCGGTGTGAGACCGGATACTGTAAACACAAGGCCACTGAACCGCTTCAAAATTTGATTAGATCGGGCTTTGC